AGATGGAGGCGAGGGGCGGCAGGGGGAGAGCCCCCCGGCACACGCCGATGTCTACCGCTACATTAAGGGGGACTTGTTCACCTCCGAGATCTATAAAGTGGAAATACAAAACCTGCCCAAGTACATCGGCTTTAACGACGTGAAAAAATTTCTCGCCAAATACGGGCTCAGCCCGCATAAGATCAAACTTTTCGGGAAGCAGACGTTTGCGTTCGTAACGTTCAAGAGCGAGGAGGAGCGGGACCGAGCCATGGCCGTGCTCCACGGGGCCCTGTGGAAGAGCCGGCACCTGAGCGTGAGGCTGGCGAAGCCCAAGGCCGACCCCATCGCCAAGAAGAGGAAGAAGGAGGAAGAGGAGACGGAGATGCGGGAGGCGAAGCAGCCCGCGCTGCCCAAGGCCGGAGCAGAGGAGCCGCTGAGCAAGCAGATCGCGGACGTGGTGACGCCGCTGTGGAACGTGCCCTACGAGGAGCAGCTGGCGAGGAAGAAGCAGGAGTGCGAACAAGTGCTGCAGAAGCTGACAAAGTAATGGCAGTTCATAACGCGCGCGAGGTTACGGCTCATTGGGGTGGACCTAAGTGTGAGCAAATCCCTACAGTAAAATCGGTTAGGAGCATGTTGGAAAAACAAATCCCCTGACAAAGCAAAGGGAAGTTGTGTGTGATGCTAAGGACTGCATCCCGCTCCCGCTGACAGAACTTCCTATTGTTATTCCTTGGCCAGCTTCAAGTTAACCCGTGTTGTTTTTAGAAACAATGTTTTCATAGGCCTATGCACAAAGATGTTTGTGTCCTTAAAAGTCTGAAAGAACTTGTCAGTGTCAAGTGGTATGAGAGGTAATCTGCAGAGAGAGCAACATGCAGTTAGGATTTTCCCTTAAATTAAATGCTCTCAGTTATTAAGACCAGTCTAGTCTCTTTAGATCAAAATATTGCTCCTATCATTATTCCCTTACGTACATTGAAATTGGTATTTTATTGTTGCATGAGTGCGTTTATAAGCCTACTATGTGCCTTTGTAATTACATTTACCATTCTTGTAATGATGGAGCTTTTTTGCCCATTTAAAAAGTCTTCTGGAGAAAATATTCACCTGATAATCAGATAACTTTTGCATACGTATATATATAGTCCCGTGCAACTGTTAACCTGACTCATTTTTTTGTAAGTGATTACATTCAAACTTTTTGTTTCTGATTTGGGCAGGGAAATAGGAAATACCAACAGAGCATTATTGCCTTGGCTGTTCGTGCAGAAGCAGAAATACAACAAAATGTGCTGCCCGGTAGAGGGAGTGAAAGCATCACCATTACAGGTAATCAAATCCCAGATGTAAGCATGAAACAGACTTAATGAACTCGTTCAGGGTTAAATGAATTATTTGATTTTAAAAAGAGGACAGAGTGGACAAAGTGAATATCTGTATTCCTCTTGTAAGGAGTGGTGAATTTTAGACTTTGTTGCCTAAATATCAGTACATATCAGGACGTAGATACTAGGAGCAAAACAACAGTTATTATCTAGATATTCTAACTTATATTCTCCATGGAAGCTTGTTTTGTAGGCTAATACAGACCTCAAAGAATGTAATATTTTGTTTTTAAAATAAGATCCACTAAAATCTTTTAGTTACTGCTGTTATTTCTCATACTTCAAAGTCCAGGAGTATTTTCCATATAAAGTGAAACATCCCGTGGCTGTTTGCAAGTACGTTTCACCATATGAGGGTTGTTTCAGGAGAAACTTGGCATGTATAGAGAAGTGCTATGCAAATATCTTACACAACTTTATTTTAAATCTAGACTGAATATCGCAACAAGTGTGAGTTCTTGATTGGGATTGGTGTAAATCAAGAAGACAAAACTGTGGGTTGTCGTCTTGGCAAATATAAGGGTGG